TTTTCCAAAAAATGTCCTGGGTGGGGGGGAGGAGGGAGGGTTGGCCCTCCTGGGGGTGAAAGGAGCAGACCGTGTCCCACCCCATGGTCCACTCGCTGTGGAGTTCGGGGTGTGCTGGGGGACAGGTACACGGGAAAGAGACAAGGGAAAGAAAGGAGGAGGGAAGAGTTGTCCCCTCCCAGAAATCCATTAGGAGGGTTCAAGGTGTCCCCGTCCAGCTCCTGGACTCTGGGGAGGCGGGTCTTGGGTGAGCGAGGAGGTTGGAATGGGCTGGGGCAAGGGGCCAGGCTGGAGGCTCAGCCTAGAAAGCCATCGGGGTCGTCATCCTCAAAGTGGCCTTGTTGAAGCACCTTGATGTGGTGCTCGTAGATTTTTAGGGCGGGACCAAGGCGGATGGACAGGCCGGTCAGCACATCCGTGCGCTGCATGAGCAACAAAGACTTGCCGTCGATCTCCTGGGCGGGGTGGGACAGACAGACGGCAGGGTTAGAGCTGGCGAGTTGGGCATGCAGGGCTCCGCGCGCATGCGTGCTGGGCTCTCCACCGTGAGGCTCTCACCTGTTCTTGAAAAGCTGTGGCCTGCTCCGGGAAGCCCGCCTCGGTGAAGTACTCCACCACGTCCATGACCGTCCACTCCACGGGGTCCGCCGGCTTCTCCTTGCGCCCAGGACTACATCCAAGCAGAGGGCGCCAGTGAACGCGCATGCCCCTCTGGGGGGGCATGTGTCCCCCACACACCTGTGCAGCTTCCCAGCATCTCAAACACCCCAACTTACGGACAGCCAAAGGGGATCCCGTCGGCCCCGGGGAGGGCTGGTTTTCCTGGAGGCAAAGGCACGGGAGATGGGGAATCTGGCCCAGTGGCCACAGAGGCTGAGAAAGAAGAAGCAAGTACCAGTGGCTTTGCGGTGGGGCTGGGACACCCCACATGGCACTGACCAGGTACCCAGAGAGGTCCTTACCTGATCCCCCTTCCTTATTCATGGCTGGCAGGGAGAACATCTGGCGGGTGCCGCTGCCCGGAGCTGGTCCCCGCCCCTCATCCTGAGCCTGGTGAGGTCCACACGGCGTCCACTCCTTGACCCTGTCCTTGGCACTCTGAGGGCCCCGCTCGCCATTAAGCTGGTGGTGCAGGGCACCTGCACGGTCACTCTCGGGCACTTCGGAGCCCTCTGACACGTCGTCTTCATCATCTTCATCTTCCTCATCATCTTCTTCCTCTTCTTTCTCAAGCACCGGCTCTTCCCCTCTCTGGGGTCAGGGAGAGACATGGTTCTAATTCTGGCCCCAGACCTTAGGCTCGCGGACCGAGCTGTGTGCCCAAGGCCACCTTTCATAACAATACGGGACTAACTTTTACGCATTCGCTTCGTGCCAGGCCCTGTGTCCATACCCGCCCTCCGCAGCCAAATCTCACTAAACTCGCTCAACAACCCCAAGGGGTCGCTACTGTTATTAAGGTGCGTTTTACAGCGGAGGAAACTGAGGCTGGGAAAGATTAAGTCACTTGCCCAAGGTCACCACGCGCCAAACCCGCAGGGCACGCGCGTAAAGCCTCGGCCACTGCCGCCCAGTTCCTCCCGGGACCCCCGCCCCCGCCAC